CATGAAATCGACATTACCTGAAAATACCAAGGCAGAGGAGAGCTTTGAGAGCTCCAATCTCAGATTTAAAAAACAAGATGTATACAGCTTTAAATTACTATTTGAAAAGGGAATTAGGAAATACTGAGTGTGACCACATAAACTCTATGAAACTTCTTAAGCTTTACAACTTCCTAGGGTTCACCTATTTTTGTTATCTGCTGTTTCTTTCCTCACAGTGATTTTACACAGTGTAAGAAATATAAAAATCAAGTAAGTAGTGCAAAGATTGCCATCTCCTGTCAGCACAGTAAATAAATAAGTGCAGTGAGTGTTCCCCAAGCGCCACCTGGTGGTAGACCTAACTGATACTTTTCATGTGGGCGAAGGAAATGCATGAACTGTAACTAATCAATCCTTTTATTAAGGATTCCATATTTGCAAATTTGCCTACTCACTAATATTTATTTTTAACCTTAAAATCAATATTCGGGTGTTTTTTATTGTGGTCTAAAGCTTTGAAGTGCTGCTTAGCATCCTTCCGTGGAGTTCTTGCTATTCAAACAGGACAGATTTGGGAAAGTCCTGGTTAGGTTGAGTCTTGCCTTCATTTGGTCATCTTTGTATGAATGACTCCAGTGGTTGGGGGGTTGGGGTTACCCTCTCTCCCCTGGCTTTTTTTTTTTAACGGTTTTTTAGCTGATGTTCATTAAGAGAGTACTTAGAACTGCCACCAATGAAAGGAAATACTGTCTAAGAAAGTGCATTTCTTTAAAGAGCTGTGTCATACCATCCTTTGGGCCGTCTGCTGGAAAAGTAGAATCGAGTCTCAAATAATGCCTTTTTAATTGTATCCTCTAGTATTATAGATGCAGGACAGTACTGTATCATACCTCTGTGAATGTAAAGTACCTTGCACCTGCTTTATGATACGAGTAGTGACTGTGCTTTATCAGAGCTCTTTTTAATGATGTTACTCTAGAATGTTTTCTTTCTAAATGATGATTGAGAAGCTAATAAAAAAAAAATGGTGCCAGGTACCACAACAGTAACAGAAAATTGCTGTTTTCTGGGGTTTTGTTTTTTTTTACTTTTTCACTTTTGTTGTTGTTGTTTTGTTTTGGTTTTTTTGTTGTTTTAATGGAGTGTGCTAGATGTCTCTATAATTTTGTTCAGATGACTGCAGAACCTGGAAAAGCTGTTGCTGCTATTGATGCAAAACATACTGCTATTATTGGTCTTTTTATATAAATATAAATATATATATATAATTTGAATTTTTGGAAACTTTAGCTGTGCTGTCAACTTTGGAAAAAAGTATCCCAGTTTACTGTGTTGAGTTGGCATTGTACAGAAATTAATAGCCATATTGGTCTAGAAACGTTAAACTTAATTTTTTTCCATTTGTACAGGGGTAACGCACTGTATTAAATATGTAAGGTCTTATCTACGTGAGTTTGATTACAGAAACTAATAAAGTATTCTCTAAATAATGAAAAAAAAAGGATTCCATATTTGCAAATTTGCCTACTCACTAATATTTATTTTTACCTTAAAATCAATATTCAGGTGTTTTTTATGATCATTCATGAGACTGCATATAACAGTTAAAATTTTAGTTCTAGACTCCTTGTTCCAACTCTTATGCCATAAACAGGTATCCTTTACATGGTCCAGTTAGTGCCACATGTTTCTTATTTTGTGTTTCCTGTTGACTTCACTTTTAAATGGTGCCAACCACAGTGCTGAAGTGTTGTCTCGTTTTCCTAAGTCAAGAAGAGGTGGTGTATTTTATGTAGAAAATATGTGTTAGATCAGGTTTGTTCAAGCATGAGTTATGATGTTGTTGGCAGTGAGTTCAATGTCAATGAATCCTCAATTTGTATTTTAAAAGGCATCTTTAAACAGAAACAGACATAAAGCAAAGTTAAGTATTGCTCAATTATGGAAATATGGTTATCAAAGTATCAAGAAAACCTAAGTCTCTAATTCCCCTGGGAATAATAACTGAGTGCTTACTACTTTGGGGTAGAAAGATGCTGTAGAACATTACTAATATAAATATTAACAATTGAATATTCTTAGATTTTACTTAAAAATGTTACAGGAAGTTATAGCATTGAACTACAGAAAATGATATGCAACAGTATCATTCACCAAAAAATACTTTGTCCAAGGCTAATATCTCATGAATTCAACCTAAAAATTCTGAACTCTGGGATAGAATTCAGTTCTGCAAAGTAAGAGCAACTCTAATCTAGTGAACAGGGCTCAAAGCTTAAAGCTCAAATTGAAGCTCTGCTCTGGACCAGATGGGCAGCCTCACAGACATTACATTCTTCTGTTAAAAAGAATTGGCACCTTTCTGGAAAGCTTCATGAGGACAGACTGGGATGTATACAATCTGTGACACTCCCTTAGTAATGAAGACGACTCTGTCAAAGCAAAATGACCCCTTACCTCTGCTACTATACACAGAATCAAAGACTTATAAACCTGCTTCTTGAAACTTAAGTAGAAAAGGTGGCCTTGACATCACTAAGTTCTTTAGGTTCTCTAGGTATTAAAAGTAATCTGCAGACTGTACAAGCTCTGTCCCAAGACCCATTGAAAAGGATAGGGTCCTGACTGGGTGGTCTTAAGGCAGAACTGACTATGTCTTCCCCTTTAATGCTTGGCATGTCCATTGAACTCCAGTTGGCTCATATACATATTCACAAGAGACTGACTATGCCTGAAAGCAAAGGCCTGGGGCTTCCATGTCTTTTCCTAATTCACAGTTCTGGCTACACCTGGCTCTGGAAGAGCAGTGAGATGTCATCTTTTCACATTACAGACTGGGCCAAGTTCTGGGCCATCATTAATGTTTGATTCTATCTCCTCTCCTATCTTAAGTAGAATGCGTGAACTCTACCAACCCATTACAAGTTACAGAATCATCTTAATGTCAGTTAAGCTTAAGAAAAATGTTTCTTCTGAGCAATGGTTTAGGTGAAAGTGATCAGATGTGTGCCTCTGGGAGGAAAAGAAAATATAAAACACACACAAGTACACACATGGTGTACTATGTGCCGATGACTGAGCTATGTGCGCTATGTCATTTAATTCTCACACTCCCAGATACTGAAGGAAAATTTAAACTCTAAGAGATCAAATAATTTGTATAGTCACTTGCATATCAAGTTAATAAACAATAAGGAGCCATGAACGTGGAAACAATTAAAGTCCATAGTGGTGGATGTGGGGAAGAGTCTGAAAGTCTCCAATTATATGAAGGTGGTAGGAGACCTATGAAGTTTCTCCCATTCCTAGGGTCATTACAGACGGTCTTCTTTTTAAAACTTTCTTTGAAGATTTAGTTAAACTATGACATCTGACTCTGATTCTACCCCCACTGTGATGACCCGCACAGGAGGTTATTGTATCAGTAGCAAATAACTTTCTACAGCAAACCCTAGGAGACTTCTACATGCCTAACTAGCAGTCAGTCTGTGTGAGGAATTGAGCAAAATGGTGATACTACTGCTAACAATAACAGTTCATTCTCATTGAGAACTATTTCAGAGCAGGCACTGTCTTAACAATTCATGTGAGAACTACCCACATTGAACACAGAAGGAAACCGAGGCCTAGAAGGTCAAGTAGTCTGCTCAGGCTCACAGAGCTAAAAAATCATCACTTTTGACTACAAAACCCATACTCCAAACTCAGCTAGCCTGTCCATGATAAGATGGAAACAAGAGATGATATGGATGAAAATCATCCTCAAAGCAGGCTCCTTACGCCACTAGGTGATCCCTCATTCCCTTGAGCCTTGTGCCAGATGGCGCAGGGACTTTGACAGGTTGTGCAAGGACTGGGTGGGGACATTGAAAGAGCGAGAGTCTAAGAGTGCCATGGGACAAGCAACTTTTTTTTTCTGCTTAAGTTCCCTTTAGATCAACACCAAAGCCAGTGAGTTAAATAGAAATTATGAAACTGAAGACACAGAAGTAGGGCAAACACTCTGAAAGGAGGCTGCGAGAGACAGTACTAAGCTCTTTAAAGTATACCCTGCTCGATACCTTAAAACAACTGAGGCCAATAGGAAAAGGGGAACAGGTACTAGAGAAAAGGTTAGATCAAAAAGAGTTAACCTAGAAGGTAACACCCACCCACAGAAATCAATGTGAGTCAATGCCCTGTATAGCTATCCTTATCTCAACCAGCAAAACCCCTTGTTCCTTCCTATTATTGCTTATACTCTCTCTTCAACAAAATTAGAAATAAGGGCAAAATAGTTTCTGCTGGGTATTGCGGGGGGAGAGGGTGGGGGCGGAGTGGGTGGTAAGGGAGGGGGTGGGGGCAGCGGGGAGAAATGAACCAAGCCTTGTATGCACATATGAATAATAAAAGAAAAATGAAAAAAGAAAAAAATAATAAAATAAAGTATACCCTGCTCTTAACAAGTTGTAGGAGTGAGCACCCCACCCTTCAGAAAAGAAAAAAGACTTATGGCCTCTTCCTGATAGCATCTGAGCAGGCTAGCCAATGAGCATGCATCGGGAAAGGAGACAGATTTCTTCTCTGATTTAGGGTTTCCAGAGATACAATTTGATTTTTCAGAAGATTTAATTCATAAATAGCATTAAAAACTTAAAATTTAGATCTTAAATAAGAAAATAAAGCCTCTATTTTGACTGAAATGGAGCCTCAGATCTGATATGTTCAGGTATGGATTTTCCTTTAGAATAATCTAGAAGGCACTGGCAGTCCAGAGAAGGGAGTAAAGGTATAACAACTGGCCCTGGGTTGATGACTACTGAAGCCCAGAAATGGTTATTGATTATACTGTTTTCTCAACTCTTGGGTATTGTTTAAATATTTCCATCAGGCAGTATTTTCTTAAAATGTGAAGGTAAATTTAATTAATGAATTATTGATAACCTTTTTTGGAGAAGAGAGGCCCCACAGACTGACTTGTAGAAATTACGTCACACTCTGTGCTGCACCGATCCCTACCGATTATGTGGTCCCTGGGCAATGACATGACCCTCACAGCACTTCCCTCTTACTACCTCACAGAACAAGTCAGTTCTTTGGATTTCTCAGAGAACTTCTCTTCCAAGCAGGAATCCACCCATCTCTAACTCTATTGCTCTCATTCCTGGCCACAGCTGCCTCTGGCACTGTGACCACAGAGCCTCTGCAGAGGTGGTCAATGGTTCCAGCCTTCGCGATTTGTCTAGCTGAGCAGAAGTGAGGAAGAGGGAAGCTGCCTTCAGTATTCTATGTGGAAAGGATAGTCTTTGTGATGTTCAGTTCTGAAAAGCAGAACAACAAATAAAAAAACAGAAACAAAGAATAGTTATTTTAGGAGAAACATTTCAAATGATAGTTATGCATTTTTAATTCCATAGTTTATAAATTAGTCTTTGGCTTTATTCATTGGCCCACCCTCAAACAGAAAAAAAATTCTGATACACAGGTTTAATTTACCTAGAATGCATGCAGTTAATGACTGTGTAGGAACCTGTCATCTGATCTGTGTATCACTCCCACTATTTCAAAAAGGAGATAAAGGAGGCATATTTACGTGGGGAATGTGGCCAGTCGGAGATTCCTATCTAGAATTAAAAGGTCATCCATATCTTCCTCTGTTAATTCAAAATCAAACACCTGGAGCCAAAATAAAATGTTTTTAGGAAACTTAGTTCAATTCACATATAATTGGACACATATTACCTATAAAGCAGTGTATTAAACTGGCAAGGGACCAAAAGATGTAACAGAATACTTCATTAGACACCTGGTATTTCCCCCTGAATTACAGCTTAGACTCTCACAATGCACTTTGATTTTCACCATTTGACTGATACTGGCAGAGCCTCAGTTACATTTAAGAAAACTTGGAAAGATGGGATATGTACTGCTTTCATCTAGTGGAAGTAAAGAACATGTGGGAATACTCAAAAGGTATAAGAAAGAATTTTTTCCCCTGACCTGCCTCTTGCCCTCAAAAAATGAAACTATTTGCTCATTCATTCCATCAACTAGGGAGTTGCTTGGGCCCTGACCTCATTAACTCTAACAGCACACACATTATAGAATACTTTTTTATGAGTAATCATGTTTTCTTCCTTTTAAAATTACATTATCACCTTTCCACCTTTTATCCCCAACACAATAGCGGACCATAACCCATTTCCACAACAGCATTTCACCATGAGTATCATCACCCACTGACACTTAGGGGCTGAACTGAAGGAGAAGGAACTGAAGGTTTATCAAGTGACTCCAACATGCCCCACGAAAGGTAAGAGTCCAGTGGGACCCCCAACCACTACCCCCAGAAATGACTATCCTGAAGTCTGAAAATAGTTACGTAAGGTAAACAGAAATTTTGGCTGGAGGGAGAGTTGGAGCAGTGGAATAGTTTGTATTAATGGGGAAAAGTAAATAATTCTGGAAGAGTCCCTAAAATAAAGGGCAGAGCAGCTATGGTGCAGCCTTATTGTGTGAGTTCCTGGGCTGTAAGAGAAAGCACTGGCCCTGTGCTTGAACTCTGAGTCTCTGGCCAACTCGAAGGGTAAGCCCCAGTACTCCTTCCCTGTTTGACACCTGTCTTCTCCCTGGTTAAGCTCACATACCCAGCTCCTGGTTTCTCCTGACATAAGTGGAATTTCCTCCTGAACCTGGTAAACCATTATTGCTTTCTTCCCTCAATGATCAGGTCAAATCTCTTGGCATTCTCAGCATCACAATCCTGTCCGGCTGTCCAAGGGACAGCATTTTCTTTAATATATGGCTGACCTAGTGCAAGGGACACAGAATTATGACCACGCCCTGAGGTCCCTAAGATATACCCACTGTCATGGGGCTGTGTGATGCCAAAGCACTGGCAGTTAGAGAGAAATGAAGGGTAGTTGTAGGTCTTCCTAACACCTGCTGAGCGTCTTCATGCAGGTATGACCATTATAGGTATTCAGGTAGGGCTCTTTACATTGGAAGGATAAGAGGATCTTCTCTAGCCTATGACCTTCCAGGAGAAATCATGGCTGCCCTAAAGGGGCCCAAGAATACCTTTGCTAAGCCCAGCTATGTGTCAGATGTTAGATACCATACAGCAAATTCTAATGACTGGACCAAGATCAGAGGCATAATTCTAGGAGGCCTGTCTGTCAGAAGTCATTGAGAGAACTGAGTTTACAGCTTAGCCAAATTCACACTCCTCAGGCTTAAGGGTTAGCTGATTGGCTGAAGTCTGGGCCATTTGAAGGCAAGAGTGCTGCAGGGAGGATGAAGAGAAGTGAAATGTGCAGTTGGCAAGTGGGAAGGGGTGTCTACTCTTACAGACAAGGGCCCAGGAGAGAGAACACTATGAGCACTATGACATACACTGTCTCCTTCCCATGGTTTCCCCATCCCGTCTTCCCTGTTTCTACTACTGCAAATACCGCAACCGCCAGTGAAGAAGATGCACCCCACCCTAACCAACACAATATGCACAAACACAATGAACCTGAGGGCACAGCACAATTACAGATAAGTAAAATAGTAAACATCTATGGAGGAAAATGGGTTGTCTAGCTATTGTACTGAGCCCTGAGGATATAGCAGTGTCTCATGAAGCTAATAGAAAGCTCAAAAACCCACTTGACTTCTGGGAAGAGTAATATGTCTACTGAAGACACTTGCAGTCCCCAGCTCACAAATATAAGCATATGGTATGGAGATGACTAATGAATGTGGGCTCAAAACAATGCCTACTGCTCATGACGGATTTCTTATGAATGATTTCAGTGACTGATGGCAGCTTATATCATCAGGTGCTTCTAAATACCAGGCACGATGCTAGCCACTTTGCATGCATATAACATTTAACCCTTACAACACTTTGTGAGATGGGTACTCAGATGAAGTATCTAAAGCTGAGAGAGGCCACACAGTTGTTAAGTGTCGGTGGGCCTATAGGAATCTCAAGCCCATGATCCTAACTGCTGTTCAGTTCATTGTGTCTTCTGGATTGAAGGCATGCAGGGTTCCAAAAACAAATTTTACACACTTCTCCAATTCATTGAGGTTAAAATTGCCTCAAAAGAACTTTAGCATTTTGTACACATTCTAGAAAATAATCCTACCTCTCAAAAGTCACTTTGAATTGGAATCTCTTAACACAATACTCAAGGAAGGTGCTCTTGAGAGACCAGTGAGCATGCATTCATGTGGCAGAGACTGGCTATCTACCCACCAAACTTCTTCCCCTTCCATCTGAGTACACACTGGGCAACATCCAGCTTCCTTTGAGGGTCAGTGTGGCCACATGACTGTGGAGTTGTGATGCTCCTAAACCTGGACCATTAAAATCTGTCCCATGAGGTAGTCTTTCTTCCTTCTCCATTTTGGGCTGAACAGAGAAGATACCAAGCCCTAGGGGAGAGGAAGTTCTGAGATGGATGGATTCTTATATCACTGAGTGAATGGCTGAGTGTAAACACAGTGCAAAAGAACAGCCCCCTGTTGTGTCAAGGCACAGAGATCCTGGGGATATTTGTTATGGCAGTTAGTCAGTCCTTAATTAGGTATTAATTATACGTGATCCAAACCCTCTAGCATAAAAGACAGAAAACATACCTACCTGGATATTCTCCTGAATCCGCTTAGGGTTGACAGATTTGGGAATAACTATCACATTCCTCTGGATATGAAATCGGATCAAAATCTGCAGGAGAAAAAAAAATCTATTATTCAGAAGGAAATCAGAGGAAACAAAATCTAAGCCATCTTCCTAACAGTTTGTGTTTTATTTTCCAATAAGAGTCCAAAAGTCTTCATACCAAAGTCCTTTAGAAATCAAACTGGTTATTTTCCAAATAGTTTTATCAGTATATCTGTAATGACTGCTATTGGCACAAAGTGAAGGTCAGAGCACCTGCTCACGCCTTAATGAGAATTTTTTTAACACCTGAATAATACTCCAAATAAACTGGATGTTAGAACAAGAAACAAAATAATAAAGGACTTTCTGTTCCCCCTCACACTAGCTGTCCAAGCAGTTAGTTCGTAGGGCAGAGGGGAATGTCTGAGAGCTCATCCTGGACCCTGACAGTCAAGAAAGCAAGAATGTATGGCTTGATGAATGAGAAAATGGAGTTAACCAACTTACTTCTCCACACTGGAAAGATCTGATGAGTCATCAAACTCATCGAAGTAAAGTTATCCCTTCCTAGAACTGACAAGCCTCAGGACTCCAAGAGGGGAGGGCATAAAGAGATACACTCCCAGCAGAGGACAGCTGCCCCCCTCCCATCCTATACCTGAGCAGGAGACTTGTTATGTTTCCTTGCAATAATCTGAACCATGGGATCATTCAACAAGTCGATTCCACCACTGGAGAGACATAGCACAAAGAGAATGGTGAGCCAGAAGAGCCAACAGAGGAGCTAAAAACAAACTTCTCCAACATGAAGTATCTGTTACTTTCTTATCATGATAATATGTTCAGTCTTAGAAATTTAAACAATGCAGAAAAGCACACCACCCCAAATCCATTCTCGAGAAGATAACCACTATTAACACTTTGCAGAATATAGCTACACATCATTACTTTTAATGCATATTTTGTACTTTTTAATAAAGAACCACATGGTACCATTAGAACTCATAGGCAATGGGTCCTCCACAGGACTCTCAGATTCCTACAGTAGGACCTAACAACCCATCTACACCACCATTCATCTATAGTTGATGATGATGATAATTTCAAAACCTTTCACCCCAAATGCCATGAAAAGTTGGTATAGTGAACATATGGAGCCTTTACCACAATAGATTTTGAAGGCTATGACAGGGTATCCCTCAACCTCAACATCCATCCAGGACAGAGACAGGCTGTAATAACTATGGGAGTCATTTTTTCCCAAAAAATATTAAACAATTACCACATTCCAAGGTCTGGGTTAGTTACAGTTCTCAAAGGATCCTGAAGGAACTAAACTGAGTAAATGTTTTCTTGCATAGGGTCAGGGTTCCAGATGTGTCCCCACTCAGTCTATCAGAGGCCCTTCTACCCCAAAGGTTGGTCACTGAATGGAACCCAGCCTTCTGCCAACTCCCCACCTGTTAAGTTCAAACATATCTGCCTCATTTCACCTGTAAAATACATAGGTGGTAACATGGAAAACATTTCAGCCTTTTCTACCTTCTGATATGTCCCAAGCACTGAGCTAGAGTCTAGAATAGATTAATAAGATATGGTCCCTGCATCCAAGTAGTTTCAAATAAAGGAAGAGAATGAAATAAAGGAAGAGAGTGAGAAAAGAACAATGACCAAATGGTCTAAGAAGGGCTATGCAGAAAATATAAAACAGGGGCTTGGGAGGGCTGCTTGGAGGAGATTCTGCTATTTAAACTTAAATCAGAAATGGTCACTAAGGGGAGAGGGAGGGTAAAAGACAGAAGTTAAGAAGGTGAATATTATTGTACTTTCTATAAAAGAATTAATACAGAATTTTTAAGCCTGTTGAAATCACCATAAGAAGGGGACTAAGGTAAAAAGGAGAAAAATGAGGGGATGAACTTATTTGGATTATAACACATATATACCTGGAAATGTCACAATGAAATTTCCTGTATAACTATCTTAAACAAACAAAAATGCCTTTTTTCAAAAATGGAGAACAGGAAGGTAAAACAGATCCTGTCTGGGGTTGATACCAGTGGAAGGGGGATATAAGGAAAGGGTGTAGGAGGATGAATATGGTGGAAATATTGTGTACTCATGTATGAAAATGGAAAAACGAGACATGTTGAAACTATTCCAGGAATAGAGGGAGGAGGGATAAAGAAAAATGATGCAGGAGGTGAGTTCAACTGTGGTATAAGATCTTTTATACATGTTACAATGTACCCCCAGTACAACAATTATACAATTAAAAAATTTAAGAAGAGAAATGGAGTTAACCAGATTTTAAAAGTAGAGTTTTAGGTAAACAGAATACTACATGCAAAGTCACAGAGACTAGGAAGAACATTCTATCCAAGGAACTACAAGTAGTTTCATTTTGATGATTCACTGAAGGTTTGCAGGAAGGGGGAGAAATGAAGCCAGAGGCCAGTAGGGGCCAGGTCAGCTGAGCCTCACAGGCCAAGACTTGACTTTCAAGCAGGAAAGTGACATGATCATACAGAAATAGCTCCTTTCACCTACCATGTGAACAATATAGTGGAATGGGGTGGGTCTGGGAGGGAGTTACAGGTTTACCCTAGGACCTTAGGGAATCTTTGGTTCACTAAGATAGGGATAATGATAGTAGGAATCAAAAGGCAGATTAATGGATCTTGTTGCTGGATTGGATTGGGGGAATGGGAAAGAGATGATTTCCTTGTTTATGGCTTGAGTAGGTGGTGGCTCCTTAGCTGATAGAGGGAGCACAGTACAAATTCCACGTTCTGGGATAAGACAATTTGTAGGATTCACCTTATATAACAACTATGAGGTCTGTGATGTGCACTGGAAGAAAGGTCAGCAGTTAACTGATAAACTAGTAGGAAGTTCAGCAAAGCAGTCACTTCACACTGGTTCTGTCTCTTAAAAGGCCCTGCCCCCGATAGGGCAGCCCACTCTAAGTGGCTCTCTGGCTTCCAGTGAAGCTCTCCATCACCATTCCAGAGGTGATGATGGTAGTGATCCTCCCACACCTCGCTTACCCCTTCTTAGAGAAGGTCTTCCAACTCTCAAAATGAAATGGGAGGGTGGCATCTATGTCCAGCTAAGACTTGGACTGACACAGCCACTGATAAATCCTTACCATGAGCCACCAAGAGGACGGTAAGCAGTCACAGACACGTCTCTGGCTTGGCAAAAACTAATGAGTTTCTTCTGAGCAAGATATGGGTGGCATTCAATCTACAAATAGAATCACAGTATATTAGAAAAACTCAGACTAACAGCTCTACAAGAGAACATCTACCACAGTGTCATGGCTGTCACCAACTAGGCACACCACTGCTCCTTGAGGCCAAGTGTCTTCATCCACAAGTGAGAAGGGTAGACTATGCCATTTCTGTGATGCTAGGTGCTCTAAAGTTCTTTGAATCCACAGACTTTCAAATACCTGATCTCTTAGAAAATCTGCAAAACTTCATACCTCCCATCTCTCTCTTGTTGGTTATTTTCCTTTATAACACTTATAATTAACTGACACCTCAGATTTTTTGCTTATTTTCCACCTATTGTCACTATGATTTAAGCTTCATGAAGATGGGAATCTTTGCATTGTTCATGGATGTACTCTGACAAGAAGAACAAATTGGATGTATAGCAGGTGCTCAGTAGCATCTGTTTAGTGAATGAAATCAGAGAGTTATATGTGACAAATATATGCTACAGATGACATTAATGAACATTTTAAAGATCTTGAGAGCAGGGTTGCTCTCTCCATATTATCTAAATTCTCATGCACAGATAAGCTGGGGATGTAGCTCCTTGGCAAAGGAAAGAGGAAAGAAAGGAAAGGAAAGGAAGAAAGGAAGGAAGGAAGAGAGGAAGGAAGGAGGGAGGGAGGGAAGGAAGAGGGAGAGAGGAAGAAAGAAAGAAAGAAAAAGAAAAGAAGGAAAGAAAGAAAGAAAGAAAGAAATTCTCATGTACAATTCCAGATTATTACTAGATTTAAAATGCATGCTCATATAAAGGGAATTGAAGATAACTGTGAATAGTGCCTTTGCTCTCAGGATCAGTCCACAGAGAGCAGAACTAGCTTCCAGGAAAGTCTCCCAAAGAGAAACTGGTCTTTTTGGAAACCTCCATATCCTGTGTTCCTGGGTGTCCACCACCTTGTCATAAACAGACCTTTCAACACACGTGTTCTCCCTGCATTAGACAATAACCACTCCTAGTCATTTAAAGGGCTCATCAATAAAAAATATGGACACAAAATAGAAGCTATTATGCATATAAACAGATTCTTTGCTTATAAGGTTTTCAAAGAGGCTAAACTATGTTGAGACAGGTTAGTAGCTGCTATTTGGGGTAGTGACTAGAAGACGACACAAAGGGGAGCTTCTGGAAGTCTGAGGATATTGTTTCTTTCTCTGGGTGCTGAGTTTTTGAGCATGTTAACTTGCAAAAACTCATCCACATATGTATCCTACTATTCATGCTCTTTTCTGCATCTATGTTGAACAGTAATTCAAAAATAAAAGCAAAGCAAATGTTTTATACTTTTTATTATTTTGGGCAGTACTGTCAAGATCTCATGCTTGCTAGACAGGAGCTCTTCCACTTGAGCATACCCTTGAGTCTCTTTTGCTTTGATTATTTTTCAAAGAGTCTTAAGTTTTTTGCCTGGTTCAAGCCCCAGATAGGACCAACCAAAATTCTCCTACCTTCACTTCCCACATTGCTGGGATTTCAGGTGTGTGCCTCCAGTCCTGGCTTATTGGTTAAGGTAAATTGTTGCTAACTTTTTGCTGGCCTTGAACTGTAATCCTCTAGATCTCTGCCTTCTGAGTACCTAGGATTATAAGCACAAACCACCATGCCTGGCCTGGCTTTATTTTTAATAGTCTTAAACTGGAAATTACCCAAGTGCTTACCCAGTGTCCATCAGCAGTAGAATGTGTAAGTACATTGTGGTATATTCAGACAATAGTATAATACACAGAAGTAAGAATAAGTGACCTGCACTCTCATTGCACATAGACAAACTAACAAACACAAGGCTGTGTGGAAGAATCTAGACCCAAGAATCAATATGCATTACTATTTTATCTATAAACATCAGTAGCTAGCCCATGCTTTTAGACGACAGAACACAGCTACCCCTCACAAGGCCAAGCATGCTGTCTGGAAAAGAGAAGTGTGGTAGTGAGTCACTGGGTCACTGGTCATGCTCTGTTTCATGGTGTGGACCCAGTTCACAGAGTTATATTTGGTTTATAAGAACTCATCAAGTTCCAGCTTACTTTTCTATATATGTACATTACACACACATAAAAAGTTTAAGTGAAATAAAGTACTGGATGTACAAAGCCTGTCAGTCAGACTGGCAAATGCAGTATTCCTTTCCTCACAAGTCTTTTATTGCATTAAAAAAACAGAAGTATGAAGCCCTGTTTTTACATTCTGAGAGCCTGGAGTAAATACCTTCAGACATACATTCCTTTTCTGTTCCCAGTCTGCACGGGCAGAAGAGGCAAAGGGAAGGACTTCATTCCTCTAAAGAGGCCCAAGGGGGTCTTCCAAAATGCTGGCCCTTGTGAATACACCCAATAACCTCCCTGTAATTATATGTGGAGAACCAAGCCCTAACCACACAGGACTTATGGAAATCCATGTGGCCACTCACCCTGCCTAAGATACAATTTTGACAGTCAGTGGACAAAAATACCTGTTCCCTACTTCACCTATCCTCCCTTTCCAGTATGGCCACATGGAGGTAACATCTTAAACTTTCTGAGTATTTTCCAACTTACCTGGTTAGTTATTGGCTTGAACCTCAAATTAGGCTTATCTAAAATCTTCTCAAGCTGTTTATGGTTGAAGTTTGACACTCCAATATTCTTCACCAGTCCAGCAATCACCAGGTCCTCCATGGCCTAAAACAGAACAAAGAACTCTGCTGGGCACACAGGCATTGTCTACTCCATTGACAAGCCACATTCCTCAGAGACTTCACAGAGCAATCTAAAACTACCCTCCCCAGTCCTTTTAAAACATTTACTTGAAGCTTCAAAATAACTTCTGCACTCAAGGTCTAGAACCTGTTCCATTTCTTCATAGCTAGGGGAAACTGGGCAATTTATATGACTTCGCCATACCTTGAGTTCCTCATCTGAAAAATGAGGACAATATTATCTATATCACAGGGATGTTTTAAGTTTACAGGAAATGATGTACAAAAGCATTTATCTAAGGTGATATTCTAGCAAACATTCAGCTCATGTTCTTACCTTTAGCCCTGAATATTTGTTGACATTATTTAGCAATTATGTCCACTGCTGATTTTGTTATTTTTCTTTCTACGTAGATAATCAACTTAAGCACAGTGACATATCATCATTCTCCAAATCCACTTTCACATTTCACCTTTTTAGGAATTTGAGGGCAGACTCACCTAAAGCTCTAAGCTGCTTACTGACCAGTAAGAAAGTCTGCCCTCTGCTTCAGGAAGAGCATGGCCTTCATGTCAGTCAGTAGTCAGGGTCTGAAGGGTCATGAGACCAGAAACCGAGGAGTTATGGTATACCCCTTACACCTTGATTTGGCCACAATCATCAGAATCTCACTTATGCTGCAGGGAAAATGTAGAGTTTAACCCAAATCTTTCAAGAGAGGAAACCCAGTGTGACAGAAAGAGCTGGAACCTCCTAGTACTGGTCCTGACACCTCAGATAAACCTGGCCAGTTTCTGTGTTTCACTGCTTCATGGGAGGGAAGGATGGTAAGGCCTCGCCCAGGAACTTCTCCCTGGTGATGGCCCTCTTGCCACTCTCCCTGGTTGACAATAGGCACTCCTGTGGCTTCATCTATCTGTCTTACACTGATGATTCCAGATATCATCTCATGAACTTAAGCTCTGCTCTAAACTCAGCAAGTACAAATTTGAACTGTTCCCCATGATGTTAAGCCAGACCACGAATACAGCTGTGCAAGAGCCCATAGCCTCAGGGAATCTTGCATGGAGATTCTCAAAGCTACTGATTCCTTAACTTTCCTGCTCACTACTTTACTTCAAGCCCTCACCATTTTTCATGTGGAGCCTGGAAACAGGCTTGACACTTGGTAATCCTCCCTGCATACTTCTCCTACCTCCCCAACACAAACTTTACCATGATCGCAATGTTATGGTGCTAAAGTGCTTAAAAGAGAACTATAAGGTGGTACAAAGTATAGTAGTGGTTACCACTGGGTAATGGGAACATGGATTTTTAAGTTTCCTCTTGAAATTCTTCTGTATTTTCTAGAATAAACATGATATTTTAATTAAGAATAAATATTTGAGGGGGAAAGGAGGTCTCTATTAATTATTGTTAATAGTATGATGTAGACACATCATACTAAGCTAAAAATAACAAGAAAGTTATTTGACATCCCTGAGTTCTTTGAGTATTCATTCCTAATTCATACCATAATCCTCCTGTCTCAAGTAGATGAATCTGGTGTATTTGAACACAAGAAGTTGAAGGTCTCACAAAACTTCCTACTTAGATGTCTCTGAGCAGAGAAGAAACTGCCAAGTGGTGTGACTCAGCTTACCTCCCATGTGTCCAGGAAGTCCGTGTCACTGGGTATAACCATGCCATTGTGATCTAAAGGCAACTCTTTTTCTCCAGGCTGTGAGAACCAGAAGACAAATAGCTTACTGGGACTTATGATCAACTGTGATGAGGAGGCTGGATAGGGAGAGGATTCAGATGTAGGGGAAGAACTCAATGTCAGCAGATCTATGTCTAACCCTCAGTCCTGTGACTAGGTAATACCAGTCTGGCCATTTCCCTTCTCCAGGTTTCAATCTCCACCTTCATAAGACCAAGGGCCACATGGAGAGTATGGCCAGCAAAGTCCTTGCCAGAGTTGAAGTTCAATGTTCACATCTCAAAAGAGGCAAGGACGACACTGAATCCCTGCTAACTGCTAAAAACGTTTAATCATTTCAGGTAAAGACTGGGGGAGAAGGGGGCTTTTTTTCATGTCTTAAGAGCAAAACCTTCTTCCAACTCCACTGTTAGAATCTTCTCTTCTTTTCTTCAAATTTCTATCATAACGAGAATAATGAAGTAAGAATACAAAGATGTACAGGAGGTAGAAGGCAGAGAAAGACACCCACAAGGATGAAAATCAACTTTCCTTCTGAGCAGTTGCAGGTATTGATATTTAACCTGCCTACCTCACTCATGCACAATCCACCTACCTAGCATGTTACATGGCAAGTATAAGAAAACACATATTTATTTAATGAACCTTAATCATTCAGTATGTTGAAAGTTCCCCAATCCATACCTTAGAAGTATTTTCTACGATGAACTGAAGCAGCTGTTTCACTTCAAACCCACCTCCCATTTTGATATTTGAATAGACCCTCAAACAAGTCTAACTACCAACTGAACTGTACCTTGAAACCCATGGGCCAGTGTATGAGGTAGAGGTCCAAGTAATCCAACTTTAAGGCCTTTAGACTCATGATGCATGCTGTTTTCACCAAGGACTTCTTGTGGTAGGTGCACCACAGCTATAGTAGAAGAAGGAGAACATTGTCACAAGGCCACAATCCTCAGCTAACACACCATCCATGATTTTCCCCAAAAAACATTATCTGGAAAACCAAAACATCTAAAATGAGATGACCACAAATACAACATGACAACTTCAGATGGTCAGACAGTGATACTATATTCAGAAAAGTATTATGGGCCTCCATAGCAGACCTGATTTTGCCCAACTCATATTCAAGGGAAGATCAGGACATGGAAGTTAATGGGAAATTAATGGGAAGGACTGGCAGTTACTTGCATCCACTGGGACCAAAAGAAAACTATGTTGACAGCCAAAAAATATGAGTAACAATCAGAAGAATTTTTATATCATGTTTTCAATTCCTATAGACTTTATGTTTAAGGTTTTCTGTTATTTTAAGGTACCATAATCATGCAGGTTGAACCAGGTAAGCTTATATTTATTTAGCTATTTTCTTCCACTCTTCTAGATATGAAGAGAAATTTATAATTGTTATTTCCTCACTACATTTTTATTAACTATGATAGAAGCTACCCTGAAAGCTCTGTCACAGTAAGTCAAGTAAAAAATGAGGTAAATGAAAATAAAAGGCACTAAAAAAACAAATAAAAAAGACAAATACAGTCTGAACAAAAATAAGAAAAGATAGACAAGAATAGTTATTTCTAGATGGTAAGTATATAAGTAACTTACTTATTTTTAATTATACTTTAATTATCCTTCCACATTTCCAAAATAATGAATAAACTTCCACTTTTGACAATGATCCACTTGGAAGCAATTTACCCTAAGGTCATGGAATGAGTTACCTACCCGCCTCCCTACCTTGAGCATTCAGAAGAAAATCTCCTTCCTTGGTCAAGTACACACCAAGCTTTCTCTCTTACTCTCTTTGCTTCGGTATAGACAGCAATGATGGATTAAAAAATTAAAGTAAAATTGAAAGGCAAATCCACCATAAAAGCAACACTGAATTTTGGAATTATGGAATTTTTGGTTTGTAAATTACTCAGGAGATTGATTATCAAATTCAAACCTCAGTTTACAAATGCTGAAGTTGTGATGCTCAGTTGTCTGATAGCTGAGACACACATAGTTCCTGAATGACCTCTAGAATATGTGACTAACTTCTGGTCTTTACATTCTGCCTCAAGGCCAAAAGCAAAGGAATTCTTTAATTTTCTACTATCTTAGTCTATCATATACATCTTCTAAGGGTATATTTCCTAGCTATCCTACACATCCATTCTCCTTTTCCATCCATCTCTTACTGTGCCAGTTCAGGCCTTCATCATCTCCTACTATGTTGTGTTATATGTCCTAACAAGTCTCCTGCCTCTTTCTCAGTCATCTCAAATGTATGCTCATTGGATCTTTTACATTATCCCACTGATAACACAAGGCTTACTTACATATACTATAAACTTCTCTACTAAAAAATCATCTAGTTTTTTAAGTCTTTAGGAAAAAGTATGTGCTCCTTAAATGGTACACCAACACCTGTATGACCTGGCCCCTGTCTGCCTCTCTGGCCTCAATTCTCATTACTCTCTGCAGCTTCCTATTTCATGATCTGAGAACACAAAGCTTCCATATTCTATGCTGGCTCATGTCCTGTGCCTCTGCTCCATATGTTCTCTGTTTCTAAACCATCTCCAACACCTTCACCTGCATCATTACCAAAGTTTCCTATTCAGCAGATCTAGGGTAGAACTTAGAATCTGGATTTTAACAATCACCTTGGGTGATTCTGAGTTTGGGAATTACTGTGTAGACAGAGTTTATGAAGACTGGAACTTTATCCTATCCACCACCATAGCCATGTGACCATCACTGCGTTGCATGAATGGATTGCAAATTGAGGGATCTCTGTGCATTCCCACCCCAAGCAAATAAAGCTACATATAACACAGCTGGACATGTTCATGAAGGTGTGAAATTTCTTGTTAATTCTGATTCAAGTTCAAGACAAAGTCATCAACTCCATGATAGGTTATTTCAGCTCTCCTATTTTCGAAGACCATGGGGTTGAGACCCTACTGTGCTAGCATGGAAAAGCCCCACCTTACTGACAATGAACAGGTCCTCTCGAGTCACAACACCCTCCTTGATCTTGTAATGGATTCCTGCTCCAACTTCACTCTCATTGTGGTATAAGTAAGCGCAATCAAAGTGTCGGTACCCCAGGTCAATAGCCACCTTTACTGCATCAGTCACTTCTCCTGGAGAGGCCTGAAGAACCAACAACACAGAAGTGTCATTCTCACAGTCATGGAAACCCAAATCCAATCTCCTCCTTGTCACCTGAGAAAGTAGAATCAAGTAATAACTACAAATTTAAGCCACTAAATTGGTACTGGTATCAACTGGTCCTAAATTAGGGAACAGCATAGTTAGGAAGGAATTTATTAATAAAGTTCTAGTTTTACTTATTTAGGGATAGACAAACTACAGGTATTTTTGGTATCTGAAGAGAACTGAATAGATACTGTGTTTCAAAGGAAATAAAAAAAGAAATTAGAATGAATAATACTGAGACACAAAGAGGTATATGGTCCATCCTCAGAAACCATCTGGTCAAGCTGTAAACACAAATAGGCATATACTTGCAGAGATAATCTATTGCACAAAGGAGCATATGTCAAAATCCAAACAAAATGTCTGAATGCCATAATTAGTAAAGAGAGAAGTTTAGAAAAGGGAACAGTCACTGTAAACTGGGCTTTAGGAAGGGAAAGTTCTACAACTTGGAGAAGTCTCACAGGAAGAAGACTCACAATCTCACAAAATCACAATTCATTAAGGGTTTGTATTTCACAAAGTCCCTTTTCACTTGAGCCTCCAGTAAAGTTATGAAATATATCAGAATAATTATCTTCATTTAAAAAAATCATATTCAGAGTGGTGGAAAGTTAATAAATCAAACACTAACCTTATGTTAGAGAAAACAAAAACAAGGTGTTATCAATAGACTAGGAAAAAAATTAAGTAGATCAATCTAGAAAAGCCTGAAACTGGTTATTTGAACAACTTTAATAAAGCAGATCAACCTCTAGCAAGATTGGTCAAGACCAATTTTTAAATGACACGAATAAAAAGCAGTCTATGAAGGTAAAATATATTTAACAGAAAATAAGCCAGGAATGGTGGCGAACATGTGCAATTCCAGTTACTTGGGAATCTGAGGCAAAAGGATCTAGAGTTCAAGGCCAGCCTAGACAAAGTTACTCTGAGACCTCATCTGAAAAGCAAAATACAAATAAAAGGGCTGGTGGTGTGGTTCACATGGTACAGTGCTTACCTAATATTCACTTAACTTCAACCCCCAATACAAGAAAAAAATAAAGTGACCAATAACTGTGTGTCAACAATTTAGGAAAATGAAAAGAAATAGAAAAACTCCTAGAACAACTTAACTCAAGAAGAAATAAAATTTGAATAGTTCTGTAATTGTTAAAGAAATGAAACAATTAGAAAAAGAAAAAACACAGAGTTCCACAAAATTTTCAAGAAAAAATTCCAAGTTTACACAAAATCTTTCAGATAACAGGAAAAGAAGGAATACTTCCAACTTATTCCACAAAACGATATTAGCCCTGTAATCAGCTTAAACCTATAATTCTTACTGAATGGCTGTGAAATGCATGTCCCTGGCTAGCTGCTGAGGACCAATATAAACAAAATATAGTCTCTAAAAGTTTGTGTGAATAGGAGAAATAATTTAATTAATATTTTGACCACCAGGGATTGAGTATTCTAATCATGATTCAACCAATGACTCTCTATGTGACTTCTTACTTGAACATTTTTTAAAATCAAGGATTAAGTTTTATTTTTATTTGCTTGACTATGAGCACATGATAAAAGCGAGAGCACACAAGGAAGGGGTGAGGATAGGTAAGACACCTAAAAAACTAGCTAGCATTTGTTGCCCTTAACGCAGAGAAACTAAAGCAGATACCTTAAAAGCAACTGAGGCCAATAGGAAAAGGGGAACAGGTACTAGAGAAAAGGTTAGATCAAGAAGAATTAACCTAGAAGGTAACAGCCACGCACAGGAAATCAATGTGAGTCAATGCCCTGTATAGCTATCCTTATCTCAACCAGCAAAAACCCTTGTCCCTTCCTGTTATTGCTTATACTCTCTCTACAACAAAATTAGAAATAAGGGCAAATAGTTTCTGCTGGGTATTGGGGGGGGAGAGGGAGGGGGCGGAGTGGGTGGTAAGGGAGGGGGTGGGGGCAGGGGGGAGAAATGAACCAAGCCTTGTATGCACAAATGAATAATAAAAGAAAAAGGAAAAAAAAGGGCATATTTGAAAGGTGTTTTAGTTAGTGCTGCCTCTGAAATCACTGGCGGGAATAACAAAGTTCAAAGCAGAGAGAGTTACAACCTGTCTCTGCCATCAGGGAATAGGTATATCAGCTGCTATTGAGCTATTAATAGACAGGAAAGAAAATGAAGCTCAAAGTTCTTTTCAAAGGCAACTTGGCAATTCCTAGCTCTTCCATAGAGATGACGCTCCCAGTGATCCAGTTTGCTCCTGAGATCTAGTTAGATGCCTGGATCTGCTTTCCGCAAGCCTCCCAGCCTCTCCTGCGGGCTTTGGCACCTTCACTTGCTGGAGGATTACTGCCTGCCCGCTCTGCTTCCACTCCGAAATGCCTGGCTGCACCCCACTGCCAGACAGCTCGTCTAAATATGGCAGCCGTTTACACAGAAGGTTCATCCTACATTCCAAAAATGATTCTTTGGGGATGGGGGATGCTGTGCAGTCGGTGCAACTGCGTCCACGAAACCCGAGGTTAAGGATTATTTTGGCTTTAACATGCTTAGCCCAGCTGATTTCGCAGCGGGCAAGCATTTCAGGTTCTTGAAAAAGGTTGTTTCGCAAAGAGAAGCTGATCTGTTCTTTTTTCCCCCCACAGGCTGTTCACCGGGCACAAATGACAGATGGACACCGCTGGATGACCTGGACCAGGTCAGAGCCACTGGCCAGAGCTCGGTCTCCTGGGCCTGGCGGAGCACCGAAAATCCCGGGACTCTCCGAGGATGGGCGCCCAGGGAAAGGATTCGCCCGCCCGGAAGTCCCCCAAATCAAAAGCTCCCGCCCCTGGGGCCCGCAGCCCAACTTCACCTTCCAGGTGCCCAGGCCTAATATAGGGATCTTCTCCATGGCGCCCAGCTGCCAACGCGCCACTGGTGAGGGAGGCGGCCCGAGTCACGGCTGCAGCGACCGGGGGCGGGAGGCGCTGAGCGGCGGGCTCCCTGATTGGCGGGAGCCGACGGCGGCGCACACCCAGATTGGCTGGAAATCTGCGCCTTAGTTGGTTGGCAGTGCTGGCGGCCAATGAGCCTAAAATTGGTGCTTCCGGTTGACAGTGTCGCCCACGTTACTGAGGGTCAGAGCACCTGTGTGGGGGTTATTTGGCATCTCATTCAGTCTCCTAGCAACGTAGCTTAGTCGGACTAGGGGTGCGGGGGATTGGGGAGGCCGGAGGGGGACTTGGCGAGGGGGCACAGGGTTCTGAGGCTCTTCCTGAGCCCAGAGTTGTCCTAAAGCTACCTGCAAGGAACAGTCTGAGATCCTACTCTACCACCTGGACACGCAGGCCAACAGCCTCCCCACCCACCCTCAATGTGAGGGGGAGCGCGGTATACAGGGGAGGTGGCCTCAGCTTTTTCCCTTACAATTGGGGCGCTAGGTGCAAATGACTCCGAGGGTCCCACAAGCTTAGCAGGTGTCTTTGCTTTGACTCTCCATAGATGACCAGCACTGTGCTCTCAATCCTTGGAAAATGCCTTCGAGTCCCGGGGCAGGGGGGACAGTCCTGAGCAGAGTCGCTTGGGAGGCAGAGGACCTACAGTGATAGAGAACGTGGCAAAATCCCGGATCGCTAGCCAGTCCAGGGAAAAGACTGGCCCTGTTGGACCCTTGGAGTCCTCATTGGAAGTGGGGTTGGAGTCATTGACCGGGTGAGTGTATTGATCACCCCAGAGCTAGCAAAGAGAAAGAAAGGGGGGTTGTGCAAGGCCCTCTTATCGCCACTTAAGCTTGCATTGACCCTGGAAGCCCCACGACTTGAGGACAACCAAACAACACAGGTGAAAGGTTTTTTTTCTGGTTTTCCTGCCTGGCCATGCACTATTAGGATTTCACACCAGGGGGAAGTAGTGCACACTGTGTTCAATGGAGTAACTGGCTAGGGAAGAGCTTATCAAATCAGGACAAGATTGAGTTGCCATAAGGGCATGGCGACTTAAAAAGGAATGCCAAATGTCTTCATCTTAAGTTCCCTGCTAGAAGTGATACACACGTAATAGCGTGCCACATAACCATGCTTTAATTAGAAATGGATTGTGATCAAAAGAAAACCACTTCAATGTTTTATTACAAGGACCTCAAAGTGCTTTCCAGAGTGCACAGAAAGAAATCAGAAGGAAATTCTTATAAATGTTCAATAGGAATTCCTACAAGAAAATTTTATCCTCAAATCTTACATATATATATATATATATATATATATACACACACACAGACAGAGAGAGAGAGAGAGAAACAAATAAATTGCTGTGGTAAAGGACACAAGACAGAATCAAAGAATAGTCCACAAGTCTATAAGTATGAATTATAGTTTCATAATGAGCCCTTGTGCACTGAAGCTGCCCAAAGTCATCTTTACACCTAAATATTGGGAACACCTTGAATAGGATAGACAGCACTAACTTACTCCTCATGTGAATTTTGCCTAGATGTAGGTCTATCAGTGATTAAATATCACCCAACACCACATTATACTAGTCATTTCCAACAAAATTTTAGTAAAACCTGGAGTAAACCTCTGCTCTCCCAAGAATCACTACAAAGGGATCCCATTACCTGTACCAAATTTCACAGTAAAATAAATTCCTTCGAACTGGATCAGTCAGAAGGAACATAGACTGGAAGACAAAGTGGGAGAGGAAACAACTGTTGAAAATAACAACATCACCAGTCACTAGAATTTACAGATTATTCATCATATTCCAGACACTGCAATGAGATGTGTTTTATCTCGTTTAAAAACTTAGCAATTTGAAATTCCAATTCCCATCAGTCAATTAAAATGCAAATTGTTTATTTTCTCATGCTAAATTATATATCAGAAACATTTATTTGTTTCAGTTTTGCAGTTCTTAAAAATGTATCTATCTATGGGAGAATGTATCTATCTATGGAATGATAGCATGTATTTTAAGATAACACTTTTTAGCATTTGATCCTAGAAACTTTTCTTTGGTCCAAATAAGATGGAAAATAACAGATATAAAATATTATCAATATTGCATATTGGCTTTCATAATTCAACCAAATGTATGAGTTAGTTTCAGATATCTACAATAACATTGTCCTTTCCTTAGAGGACATAAAATCCTAGTTTGACTTATGCAGTTATGTCTCTTTTTAAAGGCCAGTTCAAATTTCTTAGGCAAGAATTCAGGAGAATAATATAAATGGCAAAGATGCAAACATTTGAAAAATGTGTCAATACCTTTTTCAATGAAAGAATTGAAACTTTAGACTATAGCAAGATAGTTTAATATTAGTACATTTTTAAACTTGACCATGTACAGATGAACATATGGGGGAGAGGAGGGCCCTGTACCTTATTGTTGGGGACATACATCAGATAGTAAACAGACAATTTCAAATCTGAAGTCACTAATACTTCAAAGAAGAAATTCCTCTCTATTGCAACTCTACTAAATAGCGGAAAAAAGAAGCCAGTTTATTGTAAAGTTGTTTCTGGAGGTGTTAATTTATGCATCCCTTCTATCTCTGCTTTTCTTTTTCCTCCTTTTCCTTCATTTTTTTTACTGGAATTGGGATGTAGAATTTTTTTAGCTAGGGGATCTGGGAAGGAACAAGAGCAGGGAAAGAGCCTTCAGAAAGCAAAGGCTTTTCAAACTAGTGTCCTAATGCACAGTGTCACAGGGCTGAAGCTTTGGACAAGAGTTTACTGAACTAGGAAGGGTTTGGTGGAGGGAGCCTCTCAGCAGCTCTTGTTCTGCACTGTGTATGTGTGTTTGTGGGGCGGGGGAAGGGGGATTGATTTCCTTTTGGGCTAGATAGTTTCTGCTTTATTCCCTAGTATGTGAGATCTCCCACCGGGAGTATTCTCACTCTGCAGGAGGATTTCTTGTTCCAAAAGAGGCACACAAGCAGCTGAAACATGGTAACTGAGGAGACTATCACAGGGACCTTAATTCATCTTTGGTAGGGACCAGTGATCATACTGACTTCTTCACCAGCTAGATTGGAATTCTGTTGGCTTGAAGTAAAAACTTTTAAATGCATTTGAATTTTTATACTGTAATTCATTTTGCCACAAATCGGAAGACTATAGACCAATTAGATCTGTTAGTGAATCTATAAAGTAGAATATTTTTCCACTGCACTAACACAGACTGATAGGGAAAATATCCAGGGTCATGAACTCAGCAAAAGAAGCAAAATGTGGTATTTGATGATTATTACATGCACACACATACAGACATATACACGCATGCATGTACACCATACATATATACACATGTAAACCGCACATATACATTATAGCAAACACAAACACACAATTACATACATACACATAAACACAAACATACACATATATCTATAAATGTAAATGCAAGTACATACACATACAAACATGCCTTCTGTTTATTCATTTATGTGTTCAACATATGCATACAGCATTTTGGCATATATGAGAAACTTAACAGTGATTACCTGTGGAATGAAACAATAAGGCATAAAACAATTTAAAATTTTCAGATGTTGTTATGTTTCTTTTACAATGTACTTGTAATTTTATACTTTTCTAAACTAGTTCATAAATTAAAGCAAAGTGAGAAAAGAATTTTTATATCTGAACAGGCCAAAAGTTGAGATAACATGTACTTTTATAGAAATCACTTTTTAAATCATTCTTTTATTGTTAATTACTTATGGATAGATTTGGAGAAAATTCACGTGTAAATCAAGATGATCACTATTTAGAATGTACCTCACCTGAGTTTTGGAAATACTTCATGACTCAGTAGAGATTTGCACAATTATTTAGAAAATACAATTAAGGAAAAAATAATGATAAAAATTGTTACCTCAATATTAGTGGAAATTATTTCTTCTATTACAGTGCTGTACTTCAATCCTGTTGAAACCCACATTAACTTTATAAATTGATTCCTCCTGCCCTCTGGTGGCCATGTCTCAAAATGCAGACAAAGATGTGTGAAGGTGAAAAAGACTATATAATAACACAGATGTGTGAATTATACTCTGATTTTCAGAGATTTGAGAAACCTGAGAATTTATCTCACTCAATTTTCTCATTTTAATGTAGAGACAAAATCATGTGTCAATTACATAGTTTCACTTAAAATTACTGGCAAAATTAAATTCTGGTGTCTCTTGACCATAACTAAATATTGTTATTCAAAACTGCAGTGATTTTCTATGAAACCTTTGCATTTGCAGTATAATTTTGGATCTTATAACTACCACAGAAAGGGTGATATACAAATAAGTAAGTGAATGAATACTTTAAGAGTATTTACTCTGTTTTGTACAGTTAAGTTCTTTAAATATTCTAGTTTGTTTCTCACAACCACCTTATACACTATGTGAAGTATAGACTTCATTATTACCCAGACTTTACAAAGAAATAGGGTCATATGGAAGGAGATGATCAATGCTTCCACTTAGTAATTGCAAGCCCTGGGGTCGAAAACAATTAGACTTCTGAGTTTGTGTCTTAGCTCTTTATCTGTTTTAAATCCATACATTGAAATAATTATGAGTTGATTAAAAGTATTCAACTGGAGTATAATGTTAGTATGCAGTTTGTAAAATATTGTGACATCTTATTTTAAAGCATTTATTTACCATATTCTTGCATATGCTAATGTGCACCAACTTCAAAGACCTAGATACTTCTATACATTTCAAAGACACAATTTAGTTTTCACTGAAGTACTTAAAAATAGGAATTTGCATTAAGTGTCCTTGTGGTAGGAGGCAAATCAGTGGAGTGATCCAAAAAAAAAAGAACATGGTACAGAAAATGCACAGTTAAAAAAATATGATTTCAGATAAAAGTGAATATTCATTTCAAGATTCTTGGAAATTCTGCTTTAAGCCACTGTTT